CCACCTTCCCAGCCGTCCGCCTGCGTGGCCTCCCCTTCAACTGCTCAGACATCGACATCTTCAAGTTTTTCGCTGGCCTTGATATCGTGGATGTCTTCCTGGTGTCCCGAGAGGGCAGGTTTTCGGGTGAGGCCTTTGTGGTCTTTGCTAGCCCGATGCAGGCTGAGCTGGCCCTCGGCCGGGACCGGCAGAACATGGGCAGGAGGTACGTGGAGGTTTTCCGGTGCAAGAAGCAGGACTACTACAATGCCATAGCTGCAGAGGTTAGTGAGGGGGGTTACGGCAGTTTGGACTCGTCTCCTGGGGTTATCAGGCGTAGTAATCGAAGGTCGCCTGATAAGGACGAGATGGAGTATACAGAGGTTTTGAAAATGAGGGGGCTTCCTTACTCGGTAAGGAAATTAGAGATTGTGAGGTTCTTTGGGGAGTTTGGGGTCAAAGAGGAGAGGGTGCAGATTGCGTGCAGGCCAGACGGGAAGGCTACTGGGGAGGCGTACGTAGAATTCGGCTCGGCTCAGGAGGCGAGGCGGGCAATGTGCAAGGACAGGATGATGATTGGGTCGAGGTACGTGGAGCTTTTTCCCTCCACGCCTGATGAAGCCAGAATGGCTGCATCAAGATCACGACAGTAGATTTAAAGGGTATTGTGCTCTCTCTCTATCTCTGCTTTTCCTGTTTTTTGTTGTTCAAAACACGGGTCTTGGGTGCGAGTTTTCTGGGAACGAGATGTGTGTGGAGGATTTGGGTGTTTGATAATCGGAGACACGATACTTTTTGTTTTTCCTTTGTGGATCTAGTAATTTTTTGGGTGACATTGTGTTTTTGGTTTCTTTTGTGATGCTCTTGATATCACTTTGGTAATGGTTGGAGTTGGGGAACAGTAGTTTGGTGTCCATTTTATGAGGTTGAGAGTCCTTTGTTCTTATGGAATGACAGAATAATATTTTCTCTCTTCTTGACCAGTTTGATATATTGCTGCTGCACAGAGAACGGGAAAGAACGGCCGTTTGTGTTTCGTAATTTTATGTCTTCGAAATTGCTTGAATAGGCAGAATACCAATTTCAAATGTATTGTATTGCATAAAGTTAAATTTATTGAAATAATTATAGGCACTGTGCTAAAAGAGTGAAGACTAATCACTAGAGAACTATACGTGATAAATCAGTACATTTATTTTAAATGCAATTTAAGCTCGATTTTTTAATTTTGGCAACTTAAATCACGGTTTTTTATTTTTTTTTTCAAATTAAGGCATAAATCAAGAAATAGAGAAATATAATTTCTATCATTGTAAAGTAGATTGAAAAATATGAAAAGCAATCGTAATAACACCATCTACTTCAATTCAATTTGTTATTGTAAGTTACATGATAGAAAAGATCAAATTTAATCATGATTCTCCAAATAATCTCATCAATAGAGACAATAAATTAAAATTGAAATTATGGCTCATAATCACGACAATATTGTCGGCTCAAATTTCAAAACCTACCGATTTAGACACTACAACAACAAAACAATTTATAACTCAAGAAAAGAGTCATACAACAACGACCAACTAACTAGTTGGAAAAGAGTCTCACCCTAACAACAAAGTACGATGAGGACCCTAACCGGTGACATCACAGATTGCCCCCCTCCACAGCCACTTTGGCTACACTATAAACAACAAAGTCTGGTACATGAATAAAATCACAACAAACCAAATTACAAGCCAAGTTATGAATGCCCCATGGGATTTTATAGTTGTTGTTTTGGTCAATTGCATCCAATAGAAGATTTTGCACTTTAGGTGGGTCTTTAACACAATACTTGAATTCCTCGAGTCCCTGTAGTAATGCAATTTCCAAACCCCATCTAATGCTCCTCAGTTCAGCTTTTTCCTCGCTGCTAGAGTGTTCCTTCGAGATGGACCAAGTTTTGAGAATCTTATCCCCCTCAACTGCCAAACAACCAAACCCTGTCCTACCCGCAGAGGATCTATCAACACTGGAAACTATAATTAGTGCCCTACCTTAGGAGAAAATTGATTCCCCTTGATGGACTGCCCACATCTCTCTCCACCCTACCCTAGCTTTTTTTTTTTTTTTTTT